CCCCAAAACCCCAAAACCCCAACCTAAATAGTGCATAGAACTAAAATTTAATGAGATAAAACTTGAAATTAATTCCTATAATAAGTATGTTATAAAATGAACGGTCTATCTTAGCATATTTCTCAAGATTTGCTTCATTCTAGGCTTTACATTAACCAGGAAGTTTAGTCCAGTTTTCGAGCAATAATGTACTAAGTTGCAATTTCCTATATAGCATTCTCATCATTTATATTAGCTCTCTAAAGATTATGGAGTATAGTTTTAAAGTCTTATCTTTTGGTCAGCATTAGCTTGTTATCAAAAAGTTAGGTGTTTTAAGGACAACTTTGAACTCTCTTTTCAACATCCTTATAAATATCAGGGTATTCTTCCTCAAACTATATATTTTTATTGTAGAGAATGTGAAGAAGTTCATGCAATCTTTGTGAGGTTTGACTGCATTTTTCGTTTATGTATTTTACTATTTTTTCTTTCTCTTATAACCAGCTATGCTCCAAGATTGCTTTTTCAATTTATCTATTAATGTGTTAAGCCTTTTATTCTAGCCAGTCTCTTTATTAATAAAGGATTACGTTTCTATTATCAAGAAAATTTCCCTCTGGATTTATCATGAATCTTTCTGCATACTCAAGTAAGTACATTCCGCAGTCATATCCATTTTACTATTAGGGAATGTTCATTCTAAAACTCAGGTATTTCAGCCTTTCAGAAATTTTTTTCTCACTTCCTTATAACTATGATAGCTCCTGAGGCTATTCATTAACATTATTCATTTGAGAATTTTGAATTGATTTTTCTAAATCTCTTTTCATACCCTACTCTAAGATTAATCTGAGTACTTTATCTAAATTCTTCTGTATTTTTTTGTTAATTGTCATCAAAGAGTCCATATAAATTATGCAAGGAATATTTAAAAGATCGTGATCATCTTCACTAGGAAAGCCTTTATTAACGTTTGATAAAACTGCCAAAGCCCAGTGCTACTCTTCTAGTCTATGGATAGGAATTATCAAATACTGTATTTTCTCAGTCAATTTTAGTTTACTTAGCATTTTAAGCAATCCATCGATATTGCCTTCATCTATTTTCCTACTCCAGAGGTGGTACTAAAATGTTGTCAAGATTTTAATTTTTTCTCTTTGTTCAGCAGCTATGATAGTATTGTAGAGAAAAGTCATGAAAAAGTTAATGATATTATCATTTAGATACTTTCCTTCTTGAAGTGTTTAGTAGTCATGATCATCAATTTCTTGCTAATATATTTCAATTTTTCTTATATGGTCATTATCGCTGTTGCTTGAGTCCTAATTTGAAGAATACCTTTAAATCATTTATTGTATATTTTCTGGCAAAGTCGGATCAATCATTTCTTAATCTCCAATTTCTATTGAAGCATTATTTTATTCTTGATTATCGATGGGGATATTGTCAAGACTTGTATCACTGATAGTAAACATGTTATTATTTTCAGTCCTTTAAGTTTATATTACCAAGGGTACAGAAACTGGGATATCATCTTCGTACTAAAAACATATTTCCATTTTTTCATCTTCATCTTTTTAACTTTAATTAAGTTATTCAATTAACTCAATTTTTTGTTGGTTTAAGACAAGGACCTCTTCATCTTTCATTTCTTAATTTTCAGAATGCTAGTGTGAATCCAAGCTAGGCTAAATTTTCTGACATTTAATCATTTAGTTCATGGATTATAATTCTAATTCAAGTTAATTTTAAGAAGGTTAACTTCCAATCAATATCTCATACTATTCAATTTGCTCTTCTTAATTAGGTAGATAACTTAAAGAGGATAGTTCCTATTCTTCAAATATCATTTTTTCTTAATAATTTAATAAATTATTATTATATTTTGACTCTTCTAATTCATCAATCTAAATACTGCTTAGCTACAAATTTCTTCCTAAAATATGATCTAATTCAATAGCAGGCTCTACTTAAGGTTTTATCTATTTAAACTCTTCTTGTTTAATTTACTTAATTTATTCTTCTTTCCATTACCTTCTTGCTCTAGTCTCCCTTTAAAATGGACTTTCATTTGCTATTGAGTCTTTATTATTCTGCTCTAAATTATTCTAATTTTTAATTCCACAAGTTTTCTTTTTTTCCTTAATTTTATTGTCTTTAATTGATTTAGGCTCTTTATTTTTGATTATTTCTTTAGTGCTTTCCTATTTTTCCTTTTTGATATTTTTAGAATTTTTGGAGATATCGCTTGTCTTATTTGGCAAGTCTTTATTCTTTACTTCTTTTTTTTTATCTATACCTTTTTATGTTAAACATTCTTTTGTTTAATTATGCTAATTCGATTGCAATCTGGTTTGGCGCGTGGTAACTTAAGGCTATGTATTATTATTATTATCTAGTTAATTTTAATCTAGAACAGAATCAACCTATTAAGTGATTTTTTAGTTTTGAGCCTTATTTTTAATGACTTATTTATCGAGTTTAATAGATTAGTTTTACTTAAGTTAATCATTTTAACTTTTGAGCTTTGAATTTTCATTATATGACTCCACTTAGGTTTGTAATTATTATGATCTAGTTTTTAGAGGACTTAGAGTTTTTTCAATCCTCATCAAAGAAGTAGAAGATGATTTATGCTTTTAATCATTTATTGTTTATGTATTATTGGATATCTATCTCTAATTTGGAATTACTTATTCACTTTCTTGATTATTGATAGGCTTCTTTTCTTTGATTTTTTTAATTTTCGCCTGCTGGGTACTCTCTATTTTTTATTGAGTTTTATTTTTGGTATCTTCAGATTTTTTGTTTTTATTTCTCTCCAGAGACTACGAGGATTATAGATCAATATTAACACTAGGTTTTATGCTATCACTTTCTGATTTATTTTTCTTTTTGGTTGAGTTCTCAATTTATTGCGGCTATTTTTCTTTGCTATTTGATTTTCTATAAGGATTTATTTTTTTTTCTTCTTTAGAATTTTCTGCACTATAAGAAGATATCCCATTAGATGATAGCTATTTTTTATCTTTATTGAAATTTCCAGATTTTTCAGGTACCTTTTTTCTAGCCTTCTGTCCTTTTTCTTCTTCTACTTGTTCTATTTATGATAGTTTGCTTGATCTGGTTTAAATTTAACTCTGTAATGATTATTGGGGTTTTGGTATTGATCTAGTTGCTACTTAACTCAACTTTTATGATTATTCACCTTAGCTTTTATCTACTTTTATTGCCTTAATGGCTTGATTTTTCTTAGAATCATTTATTTTTCCTGAACTGATAACTTGCTCTGATTTTGATATTTCTAATAAATTTTTCTTTTATTTGGAAATTGATTTATTTGAATTTCCAAGGGTTTTTTGATTCCTTTATTTTGAGATAGGCTTAGTCTTTTTTATTGGGGAGGAGTTCTATGAAAGAGGCGGCTTCCTTTTTGGGGGTATTTCTTTTAAACTAGATGATCTAACTTTGCCGTGTGAATTTCTTGCTACTTCTTCCTTTTCAATAAGCCTTTTTTTCATTTTTAAATAATATTAAAAATTAATTTAATTTATATATTTAAATATACAAGGTAAAACTAAGATATGGAACATTCTAGCTCTTTATAATCAATTCCTATTCCAGATCTACATGATTGTGGAAAAGAATTATATTTCACAATTGATAGGATTCTCGACATAGTAATTTTGATCTCTAAATCTGCAGTTAAAAACAAAGAACTTGGCTTTACTTTCGGAAATAATTTCAACTCTATCTTTACGAGTATAACTCACCCTCTTACTCCAAGTGACCATGAAAAATGTTTTAAGATTTTTCACAAGTTTGCTCTATTCAAGCAATTCGCTCAAAATGTATGGCATGGTTCAGTGATAGGAAGTATCATAGATGGAAACTTTGATTTGAAAAATTTCATCGAATTAGGGCGCAAAATTTCAGAAAGTGTTGTGACTAAGTAGCAATCAGATGAAGTCTGGGAACCTTTCAGCAAGTAGCTTAATGCACAGAACGATGCTCACCTAAATGAACTATTAGCCTCAAGAAAACCAGGTCAATAACTTTCTTAATCAGAAGTGGCTAGTATTACTAAACATTACGATACCTCTGAAGATTACTTTGAAGATGATCTAAGGAATTTCGATAAAATAGGATACAATAACGCTTTTTATCAGAATGTTTATAAATTTATAAAAGAGGAGCCTGTTCCTTTTCACCTGAATTCTGAGATCCTGCTTTGTAACAATCACTATGAGTTTGCGTAAGTGTCATATTCATTTAATTAATTGCTATAGTGAGATAGGTGATGCCTTTCCTGATGTTGCTACAATAAAGATGGGATAAACAATTGTCAACCCTTTCAGAGAATTGTGGCTGTGTTTATTTAGGAATAAAATTAGCATTCCTATTGATGAATTTACATATCAAATTTCCTTTTTCTGCTAGCTTCTACATAAGGATGAGGGATTAAATGAGTTTTTTAAAGATAAGGTTGTCTAAGAATTAAAAGAATTCGCTCAATCTTCTGACTACTATGTTGATTTGAGGAGAGATGGATCGTTCTTTAAAAGAATAGTTCACATGATTGCTTCCAAAACCTCAGGGGCCAAAGTTGAGGAAACTATCACTGCTGAATCTACAATAGCAAATAAAGGAGCAGGTTCTAGGTCAATATCTATTTAAGCAAAAGGCTATGATTTGGAACTTGTAAGAAGCTCTATTAAAGAGATTAAGAAAGGGAATGGGCGAGATATAAAATTGGCTATTAAACAAGAGAGCAATACAATTGATCCAACAATCTAACCTCTTGGATTAGTTGGCTAAGTTCTAAATGGACCTTCGAATTAGGGTTTGATTACATTAGGAAACTCTCTCGAAAATGATATCTATCTTCCAAAAACAGGCTTAATATTTGGAACATAATTCGGACTGATTTTTAAAGATGGAAATTTACATGTAATTGATTTTAGCTCTTCAGTTAGTAGTACCAATACTTTGTTAAGATTCAATAAAAATGAGAAGATAGCTTTAAAACAAGGTTAGGTCCTTAATTTTGCAAACACCGTTGACTACCATATATCATCCTTGACCTCTGGCCACATTAAACTAGATTTTGTGAGAGATACAAAAACAGGAAATTCAAAGGATAAAAAATCTCCTGAGGGATTTGATCTAGAAATCCCATCCACTGGTATCATAGTCAGCAGAAACAAGGGCTAGGTCATGACTATCCCAAAACTTGCATGCAGTGCTAATCATTGCAAGATATTTGGAGATGGTATTGTAGATACCTCAAGTAATGGAACATTTGTTTATTTAAAAACATTCGCTGAACAATAAAAACAAATTTAGTCTCAATTAGTTAAACTTGACCAGGCTAAAAACAATATTTAGGTTATTGATATCGACTTTGAAGTTCTTTGAGGGAAATAAAGATTTACAAATTTATTTAATTAGAAAAATTACATAAAAAAAGTTATGAGGGGTTTTGGGGTTTTGGGGTTTTGGGG